GTCGCTCTTTATGTGAGCTGTAAACTTGACGTTTTGAAGACTTGCTTATTTCAGTCGGCAGACAAAACTGTTGAGGTTGTGTCGGCTGTTATTAGCACATCCTCGGCTCAGGTTACACTTGTAATTGTGTATAGAAGCTCTGGGAGTGTATCCAAAGAGGTATTTGACTTCATTCGCTCCCAGTTCTCAAACAAGTGTTTGGTGATGGGCGACTTCAACCTCCCAGAGATTTGCTGGGCAGATCTTCCTTGCGAATCAGAGTCAGGCACATTCGGCGCTGATCTGCTTGAGCTTACTCTCCAAGTATCTTTGCACCAGTTCATTGACCTCCCCACTGGATACATGGACGCCCAAGTACCGTCTATCTTAGACCTTGTATTTGCTAAGTCACTCGATTCTGTTGGTGACATTATTTACCGACCTCCACTGGGTTTCAGTGATCATGTTTGTTTGCTCTTCAGTTGTACTCTGTCTAGACGCTACCAGAGTACTGTTGAGTCTCGTCCGAACATATGGCACGCAGGCTATCAATCCATGCGAGCCAAGGCTTCGGGATCGCATTGTGAGATCTCAGACAACGATACTGTCGAGGTTGCCTGGGATACATTTAAGTCCTACCTCACAGATGTCTTTGCTCCCCTCATCCCAGTCACAAGGAGAAAGGAGGCACGAGCACAGCCGCCCTGGATAGATCCCACTGGCATACATCTGCTCACAAAGTGGTCTAGATGTTGGCGAACTTACCGAGAGGCTCCATCCACCGATACCTATGACGGGTACCGTAAGGCTAGAAATAGGTCTAAGCAACACCTAAGGAATGCTTGGCTCAATTTCAAGAAATGGTTAGCAGACGAAGCTTCAGAGAATCCAAAAAGATTCTTCGCTTATGTCAAAAGGCGCTGCGGATCGAACACGTCTATTCCAGTGTTGTTGCGTGATGACGGTACTAATGCTCATACAGACTAAGGCCTGCGTACTTAGTGGGCAACATGCAGCAGCGTTTGTAAGGGAAACCTCTTTGACAAACCTTGAAGTGGTTTGCAGGATCCCAGAGGGTTCAGGCCCATCTGAATTGATTGTAGCGAAGACGGAAGTTCGTAGGCTGTTAGAGGGGATGAACCCTTCTAAGGCCTCTGGGCCTAATTTACTTCACCGGAAACTGTTGCATGAGTTGGCTGCGGAACTAAGTGGACCGCTCGCTATGATGTTTCAGAAATCGCTTGACAGCTGTGCATTGCCTTCCGAATGGAAGGAAGCTGTCATCTGCCCATCTTCAAAAATGGGCAGGGGGGTCTGCCTGCAAATTACATGCCAGTTACTCTGACGAGTGTAGTAGTCAAACTCCTCGAGAAACTGGTGAGACCTTCATTGGAGAGTCATCTGAGTAGATCTAATCTACTTAGCAATGTGCAACACGGATTCCGGAAGGGAGTTTCGTATCAGACGAATCTACTGGTGGCTCGCGAAAGTTGGACGGATGCAGTGGATAACGGCTACACGTTGGACGTGCTTTTCGTCGACTTTTCGAAGGCGTTTGACAAGGTACCCCATTTGAGGCTAGCGCAAAAGCTGTCCTACGGGGTATCTGGCCGCGCCCTTCATTGGATGACTGCCTTCTTGCAGGGTAGAGAAGTGTGTACGGTAGGCCGGGACCTATGGTTTAGGCAGTCTGTCCTCAGTTGCGTGCCGCAGGGCTCGGTGCTTGGACCGCTGCTGTTCTCTATCTATGTGAATGATCTACCCGCGGAGCTTGAGGTACCATCGCTGCTATTTGCTGATGGTCGGAAGCTGTGGAACATTGTCGATGTTCCTGGGGGTTCCGAAGCTATTCATCGAGCATTGCGTAAGCTTTGAGACTGGTCTACTTTATGGTTACTTCCCATAAATCAAGCAAACTGCTCCGTTCTTCGAATTGGAAGAGCTTGTCCTCTTACGAAGTACGTGGTCGGTGGGGTCTTACTCCCCCGTGTATCTAGCCAGATTGACCTAGGCGTCATACACTCTTCGGCTTTACACTCCGGCGACAACTGGAAGAAGGCCGCAAGCAGAGGTTTCCGCATGTTGTGGTTAGTACGACGTTGTTTCGGAGTCTTGACGGGCGGCATTTTTACGAGACTGTTCTCGGCTTTCGTTCGGCCTCATCTAGAATACTGCGTCGAGGCTTGTCCGCCCTGTCTCGTCCGGAACAAAATAGAGCTAGAGAGCGTTTTACGAGTTGTTACTAGGTTAGTCGAGGGATTAAGGGGACGGACGTACCCCGAGCGTCTACTTAGTTTGAGAATGCATTCAATGCACTACCGAAGGCTTAGAGGAGACCTAATCCTAACCTACCGTATCTTAACTGGGAAGGTTGATCCAGATTTGTCTTGGCTATTCAGTTCCGCTAGGTTGTCTGTTCTACGCGGTCATTCCGTGAAGCTGGACAAACCGCGGTCCGAGCGGATTAGGGAGGATATTTCGCTGTCATGCAGAGTAATCGAGCGCTGGAACATGCTTCCTGAAAGTGTTATCAGGGAATCTACGGTTAACGAGTTTGAGCGGTAACTTGACGCGCTTGGGTGGCAACACAGAACCTTTCCACTTTTTCTGAGTAACTCGCATCTTCGTACTTCGATTTTCTTTTCTACTTTTCTTCACGCATTGGTATTATTTTCTTATTTAAGTGCACTTCCTTATTCTGTACCTTCGATTTCTCTTCCTATCCTTTGCTTACTTCACGTGACTGACACAGCAAAGACTGCTAGGGCAGGAAACGTGGGCATTAACTGGATGGCCAGGGTGCAATACGGGCTTTCCGTTTTGGATCTATCAATAACTCTGAGCACTTCATCAATTCCTGACTCAACGATCCGCTCAAAGTGGAACACTCACGTGATTCTCCTATCGTTCCCGTCCCATGTGAACTGAACTGAACTCATCAGAAAACTTTTCGGGGTCACCAATTCAAGCTCAATTTCGGGCGGGACTGGAGCGATAGGAGAATCCCGTGAGTGTTCCATCTTGCGTGGATCGTTGAGCCAGGAATTGATGAAGTGCTCAGAGTTATTGATGGATCTAAAACAGAACACCCGTACCGCACCCTGGCCAACCAGTTAATGCCCACGTTTCCTGCCCTAGCAGTCTTTGCTGTGTCAGTCACGTGAAGTAAGCAAAGGATAGGAAGAGAAATCGAAGGTACAGAATAAGGAAGTGCACTTTAAATAAGAAAATAATGCCAATGCGTGAAGAAAAGTAGAAAAGAAAATCGAAGTACGAAGATGCGAGTTACTCAGAAAAAGTGGAAAGGTTCTTTGTTGCCACCCAAGCGCGTCAAGTTACCGCTCAAACCCGTTAACCGTAGATTCCCTGATAACACTTTCAGGAGCATGTTCCAGCACTCGATTACTCTGCATGACAGCGAAATATCCTCCCTAATCCGCTCGGACCGCGGTTTGTCCAGCTTCACGGAATGACCGCGTAGAACAGACAACCTAGCGGAACTGAATATCCAAGACAAATCTGGATCAACCTTCCCAGTTAAGATACGGTAGGTTAGGATTAGGTCTCCTCGAAGCCTTCGGTAGTGCATTGGATGCATTCTCAAACTAAGTAGACGCTCGGGGTACGTCCGTCCCCTTAATCCCTCGACTAACCTAGTAACCACTCGTAATACCCTCTCTAGCTTCATTTTGTCCCTGACGAGGCAAGGCAGACAAGCACTAGTGCATTCTCTGTCATCTCCTGTTGTGACTGCCCGTCTAAATGTGGTGCTGAGTTATCTGCAGATTGACTGCTTTTGACGCGGGGCAATGAAAGCCGCAAGGACGTTGTCTCGCGGATGCAGCCTTATCTTTGCACAATAGCCAACTGTTTGTGACAATGTTGACGAAGCGTAGGCGCCTCAACCCTTAATGTTTGTTTATGGCATCAGAATTTTGCAGTGGGCCCGCTTTCTGTTTCTCTCATTACTGTTTGTTCCTTTGCTCACCTTTGTTGTATGGCAGCAAAACATCGGCTCAGATGTCTGATGTAATGCTGTCGATGTTGGTAATGATAATTGTGCCATCTTTACCTAAGGCATTTACTCCATTCTAATATGGAAACTGTCTACTTCTTCACGTTTGTCGTCCACTCAATTGGAACCGGTTAGCGCCATTGCGTCATGCTCTTCTTCGTAGGATATCGGATGAAAACACTGCCTGTCTGCCTTAATTGTTTTGCGGCACATTAGCTGAGGTGTGTATCTCGCTCTCATCTGTGTGTATTGATGGTGATGATGATGACTCCGCCTTGCATGTGGAGATTGACCGCTCCATCTTAGTTCAAAAGGCCTGGTTTCGCAGATACATAGTCAGTTCTTGTTATTCGGCCTAACTCAGGAGGAAAGATTCCGGCAAGATCATCTTCATGATACCACACTCGCATCACCCCGACGACCAATTGGCATTTTGGCACTCAAAATGAGGAATTATTCATTTTCCTATAATCTGTACTATGTTGTTTGGCTTAGTTCAATAGCTAGCGGGCTCCAACACGTTTACTTCGTTCGGCTTGCATCGGAAAATAATTTATGAATGGATGATACAGATCTACTACTGGCAGAACAGCAAGCTCTATGGAATACTGTTAATCTTTGTTTGCCAACCAGCCATGTGTTCACTTACCCGCGTACTTGTCAGTATAGAGTTCGGGATTGAAATTTATGCGGCTGCCGATAAAATTCTTTAGTTCGCACATTTTGCCCTCAGCACTGTCTGCGCTCCTGGAGCATGGAGTCGTAAACTTTAATCTTCGAGGGCTCGGCTGAGATTAACGACTTACATGTCACACCTCTCAATGTCGTTCTTTCTTTTTTGTGGCCAAACATTATTGATTCCAATCAAGATCAGTGATTTCCCCAGTTAATCGACCAGGCTTGCTTTAAACATTTCACTTTTTCATTCCAGTTTGATTCCTCACATTTTCCTGGCCTGTTTCCAGTTCACTACTTACTATTATCCTACAATCGACTTCCATCCCAGACCAAACCTTGCACTCCAACCGGAGTTGTGCTCATTGGTTGAAAAATGAAGCACAAGCAATTTGTCTTTCGGAAATCCTCTGGACCGAATTGCGCAGTGTGCGTGGAACATGTGATCACGTTTCCTCCCACGATGACGCCAAAGACATGTTTTCATTATTTAGTCTCTAAATATAACGTGCCCCCTTTCGCACATGATGGTAAATCAGTTTATGCACCACGCGATTGTCTATCTTAGCTTTGTACACCGAGCTGAATCGCTTTTTCCAGGCAGAGAAAAGAGCCGACTTTCTGGAGAGATATGCTAAAGACCTAGACTGGTTAACCAACGGTCCAGTTGATTTGAATGAACTGTGCACTCTGTTGGATACTGCCTATCGAAAGGTGTGACAGGTTTGCCCATTTGTACATTACTATCTCCTGACTCACAGCATACGTCTGCTTGCCCCACACCGACTTGCACCAGCGACGAGGTACTGTTTGGACAGGCTTACAACAGACTGGTTCATTCCACCAGGGCTAAAGACCTCATTCGGCTAGAACAGTCGCTTGCACTTGTTGTATCCGCGGAGGTCGATAAGCGTGACCGCGTGCTGCGTCGACTAGCAGATGAGTAAGTTTTCGGGCTGCTAATTTCAGCTTTCCTTTGACCTACTGCATTCAGCTTCTTCATTGATTACATTGGGTTCAGCTACTTTTTGCCTTAAACGAAAGCTTATACTTATGTTAATGTTTCAAGCGGTGAAGCTCGTTGTCACTGGAAAAGCTAATTCACCTTCGGCATGCTCGCTTATTTTGGCTTTTTTCATATATGCATCATCTTGACAAGTTTAGGCGCTTTTTATATGCGCTTTCGCTGATTCGAGGTTTAACCTCTTTCCCGGTTGCCGCAGAGCTTCGCAACACAATTGTTGTTCAATATTAGTCGGACGTAGAACTGTTGGCAACACACGACTCGATCTCTCTCTAAGTATTCTTCTAAGTGAACCGATATGACCTAACTATTGCGATTAAATGAAAGGGCTTGTCCCTGACGTATATTCCCGAACTGAAAGCGCTCCAAGTTTTGAACTGCGTGTGATCACGACAGGGTGCTTCCTTACGGAATTTTTTGCATAATCCACCCTTTTCTGACCTACACAATCCTATTCGTATCTCATTGATACTAATATCCGCTAGTTTGTGTTTACAACTGACCACATTGTTCCCTTAGAGCCTGGTTTATTTTCACTCAATCGGCCAGTGACCGAAAAGATTACGCGCTTGCCTTGTAGTCTGAAAGCCACCGCTTCGAATCCGCATAGGTGTGGGCGACCTCACAGTAAACTCAGTCCATGCGCGACTGTTGGTAGTCGCTTGGCAGCGAAGCGTCTTTACAGTGTGCCAGCGTACTGCTGATGCCTGCCTTTAATTGCCTCAGCGGCACATCTCTGACATTTGGTTCTTACCATCAAATTACTGCTGTACGACTGGATCAACTCGCGAACATTTATTGTGGCTGCGTATATCCACTAATTTCAATGAGTCGATTTACGCGCCTAGACAGTAACACCTCTGGTGCCCAGTTGATCGAAGATATCAATGCGGGTTTGAAAGCTTACCTAAATTTGTGCGTAATGGAATTTCATTCCCTTGGTTCAGTGCGCAACGCCTCAGCTGAGCCAGTGTTATTTTGCGCCCAGATAGGGGCCTTTACTTTGAAAATATCAAAATGATACTCGTCAGTGCTCACAAAGCCTGTGTATTATATTGGGGAATGGGCTGTCTTTATTTGGCGTTTTGTGACATAGCCTCATGATTTGTACTGGACATTTGGGTATACATACATTTCCCACCTTGGTTACACTGTACTCCTCGCATGTCGATACCCGCGTGTCTGCATCTGCATTGGTGCTCACATATGACTTGGTTATGTCCCAGAATGACTACTGGTAGCAGTTCGACGGATCATAAACCAACTGGCTATGCAACTAAGTCACTCCGGATAGAAATCACGGTATCAGTCCCATCAAGTTTTAGGAGTATCGTGGGTTAGTGGTATCCTCCTACTTGGTCCCTTATCTCTAATTGCTAGTCCCTCAGTACGACACCTCAGTTTTTTATTCCCGTTAGTTTAGTGCCCCTTTATCTCCGCTGTTATTCTGTTATATTTTATCTTCGGTTTCTGTCATGATTTCCGAGTAAACTTTGACGACCCGATTCACCACTGTTTTGCCCCCATCGCTCCATAATGTCAGTAGGGTTGCCGCTTCTAAAGGTGCGCCTACACTGATGCCACTCATTTTTGCAGCATCCTATCTGTTCACTATATGATTGCTGACCTTCAAGTTGCTATGTGCATGGTCAGTTGGTTCGCCATCATATTTCAATATGGATCATCCTAATGTGCTTAGTTATTCGTGTACTAGCTTGATTATACTAGTTAAATGTACATAGAGTTTACAACTAATCTCCATCTTGGCTACCAAATTATTAGGTGGCGCTTAACATGCCACTTGTGCCCCTTTCGTGATTCGTCATCCGTTGACTCCTTTTACTCGGAAATTTATCATGTGCTCTTGTTTTTACTGGCTATGTTTACTATGTCTGCAGCATATAGAGACTCTGCATCACTTACACATCCTTGCTTAGCAATGATGTCGCGCTTCTCATGCTGCGCAGTTATCCCCGCAAAACGGCACGCTACGTATCAGCTTTCGGTCATCACTTTCCACTGGTCTACCTCATTGCCTACGACCGCGGTTGCCCTGAATTCGTCCTCTGCTAGCTCCGGCTCTCAGCCGAAATCAGCAGTCAGCGGACACAAGTAGTGGATATTTATAGACCAACCCAGGAATGCTCGCCTTTCAGAACAACTAGGTCAGCTGCCATGATCGGTAGTTCAGTTCTGATATTCAATGCGAAAGTTGGTGCGCACGTCGTATGGACGCGAACATTCCTCTTACGACTTGATGTTTCGGTTGCCTCTTATTGGCTCAACTTGTTTATCCATTGAATTAATGTGTTTTCTTAGGTGGCTGCTCTCCCTGACACTGCATGAAGAGAGCAAAGTGGACTAGCTTATCTGTCCTGTCTATTATCTCAGTCTGCCCTCCGATCAAAGTCCTCTATGTCGGCCGATGGCCGAGTGGTCTGCACGTTTGCTTTGCAACCATAAGGTCACCGGTTCGAATCCGCGTAGGAGTGGGCGTCCTAGCGGTATACTCAGCCCGCGCGCGACTGGTGGTGGTCGCGCGGCAGCGAAACACCGCTACGGCGTACAGCTGACACATTATTTCTATTATTATTATTATTATTATTATGTTTATCAACTGTGGCCTCGTCTTTTTCTCCAGTCTCATCAACCAGACGGAGTGTGAATTGCAAAAGCGTGACATAGACGGACCCACAACAGTCACTCGGTTGCAAGAATCGCACATTCGAATGCGCGAACTAGAAGAGGGACGATGGGACAGTATCATCAGTGAATTAAAACGGTCCCAACGGATCTTTTTTCGTGACAAGGTGATGTCTCTGAGTGCTGAACTTGCAATCCCCGTGAGCAGCGCCGACACCACCACCTCGGAATCTGCAACGCACTGCATCAACCAATTGGTGGCTCAAAGTGCCGGAACTCGGGAGCACTCCCATTCCACTGAGTATGTGTAATTCTGGTGGATATTTTATTCTCTTTTAGTGCGTCTACACGCATTCTCACTACGTTGGCCACATCTCGCATTGGCCACTGCAGTAGAAGGTTTTAGGCACTTTCTACCGACTACCATCTTATCGTGCTAACATCTTGTGTTTGTTTACAATAACATGTTTTATCACATGCCTATCATCCGCTCATTGGTGGATGGCGTGTTCAACTTCATTCCGCTAATCTGGAACAGTTCTGCTCTACTCACTTGCCAGTTGAATTATTTGTGCAATAGCGAACTGAACAATAAGTGTTTCGATCCATTTTGACATCCGAGAGATAAATGCAACGATGCTACATTTTTGCGGTAAGCACTCACTAGATATGTACGTGTTTATATCTTATTCGTTTAGTCAGTACTTTCAAGATCAGTTCAGTTGGTCCCCTACTCCCGGACCTCTTCCTATTCAGGTGATACAGGACGAGCCATGGACGGTTAGGTTAGAGCCTCCGTCGGAGGCCGAGGTCCGAAACGCCCTCACAACCCCCAATCGTTTTCCTGCCGCTGGCCCGAATTCCCTCCCACTTGCAGTATTTAAAGATGGAGGTTAAGTCCTCTGCAAAGCACTGCCGTCCGTACTCGAACATATCTGGAAGAGTGTCCGGCTAATTGAAGCGAATCGATTATAGTGGCAATATACAAGAAGAGCAGTCGCACAGACTGCTCTAACCACAGGGGTATTAGCCTAAAGCCAGTTATGACAAAATTACTGGCCTCGATTCTCGTTCGTCGCCTCACTGTAGAACGGGAATCTCGAATTAAGTAAGAGCAGGCGGGTTTCCACCCAGGACGTCACTGTGTACACCATATATTCACCCAGTGGCTGGTGCTAGAGCAGCACCACGCATGCCGCATACTGTGTTCCTCAACTTCAAATGTGCATTCGATTCAGTAGATCGGTGCATTCTGTTCGAAATACTTGCGCGGAAAGGTGTTCCCGCGAAATATGTCAACATCTTACGTGCTCTATACTCGAACACTACAGGCCGCGTCAGGGTCTACGGTGACCTTCCGGGTAGCTTTCAGGCAACAAATGGCGTTTCTCAGGGTTGTCCGATTTCCCCGTTTTTCTTCAATTTCCTCGTGCACTCCATCATGGAGCGTTCCCTAACGGAAATTCACGAGGTAGGCGTTGAGATGCTGCCTGGTGAAAGGTTAGTTGATCTTGATTATGCGAAGGATATCATCTTGCTTTTAGACGGTCTTACCTCGGCGGAATCAACCCTGAATATCCTGTCTAGAGTTGTCCCATTATTTGGTATTCGCTTCGTACCTTTAAAGTGCAAAGTGTTGCTGCAGAACCACCAGCCACTTAATGACCACTTGACCTTTGCTAACGAGGAACTTGAGATGGTTGATCGATTCACTTACCTTGGCAGCTGCATCAGCAACGAGGGGCGCATAGAAACTGAAGTCTGTTCACGCATTGCAAAAGCCAGAACTGCATTCTTGAACCTGTGACATTTTTGGCGACAGAAGGGAGTTTTCCTCAGTCTAAAGGATCATGTATACAAGGTCACAGTGAGGGCCGTCCTGTGGTATGGTAGTGAGACTTGGCCCCTTCGGTCTGAACATCTGAGGCGCCTTCAAGTCTTTGATCATCGTTGTCTGTGGAGCATTGCTAGTGTCGGGTGGCAACAGCATTTCTGCAACGATGATGTGCGTAGGCGCTTACTAGGCAGTGATAACCAAGCTAGTTCCATAGAACATCAGATATCACTGAACAAGTTGCGTTGGCTTGGACAGGTGTTGCGTATGCCTGGTCATCGCTTATCTAGGAGAGTCTTGTTTAATCTGCCAGGTGTAGGGTGGCTCAAGTCTTGAGGTGGACAGAAGTTGACTTGGCGGCGGGAAATGAAGCCATTGACGACCAAACTTGGTGCTGTTGGTCCGTCCCGCTTTCCATACTTGAATCCACGTGACTCGCCTTGTGCTTGGCTCGAGACTTTACAGGACATGGCTCGTAACCGACACCAGTGGAGCGTCTACTGCCGTCTCCTAATCGGATTGCCTGTTTAATGTGTGTTTGGTGCTGAGTTATCTGCTGGGTAATGGCTGATTATGACGCGGGGCAGTGAAAGTTGCAAGGAAAGTGTCTCCCCGATGCCGCCTTATCTTTGCACGATAGTCAGGTGTTTTTGGCGGTATGTTATCCACACAAGGTGTAGGTGCCTTGGCCCTGAATGTTTGCTTAGCGCATTAAGTTTTTACGGTAAGTGCCCCTTCTCTCCCTCTTTTTATTATTTGTTTCATTGGTCATCATGGTTGTATGACAGCGAAGCATCATTTCAATTGGCTGATGTACTGTTGTTATTGTTGTTGTTGTTGTTGCGTGGTGGTGGTGGTTGTGGTTGTTGCCGTTTGCTCATTTTATTATCTTCGATTGCTTCCCGCCACGGGAACTTGTTCGGGACGGACTTTACTTTTTCTCTGTTGAAACCATACCATTACTCGAGCATTCGTGCAATTTCTCTCAATTCAACTTTTTCACATTTCTTTTTAGTGCTCCTACTACCACAATATGGTCGGAAAGCTTCACTGTCCAACTTGGGCGCCAGTTACGCACAACGTGTAACTTTCGTCTCATTCGCACTGACCCAATGGATTTACTGACCAACCTGGGCTCCACTCTGCATCATTCGCAAAGGTTAGAGTTAACTATGGCTGAATTGAATCCCACCTGGGTCTTCATAAGTCCTATCAAACGTCTGACGTAGTATTCAGTTTAGTTCATCAGCCACAGTTTATGCGCATCTTGTCATACTGACCTGGTTTGAACATCAGCTCTTCCATCCCGTTACCCTCCTTAGGAGTTGGAGTTCCATGACCCATTGCCAGTTGCTCTGGAAGGTGTCCCTTTGTTTCGCTTACACCACTTCGTTATAGCCTGTTATCTGCATCCACCATAAATCGCTTTATACGTTCGCGTAGTCGGGGAACCGAGTTAGTTGTGGTTGAAACATTCCTAGGCCATTACTCCAGCAGCCGAATCGATGTCATCCTTGGTACTTGACACGGTCTCCTGAGACAGTAGACACTTGAGGCTGATACCATCGATTCCACTGGACAGCAAATGTTTACTGAAGCCATATTAGTGCAATAAAGTTAATCAATACTTGAGAATACCTGTAGCTCTGGGTGTAGATGATAGTGTTGTTGTGTTCTCCGAGCTCGGCATTCTTGTCGCTGACGTTTCTGTGCCAAGCTAGACAACATCCTCAGTACAGCTATCAGGATTTGATTCGCGGTCTCGTCAGCTACTGCCAGATCCAACTGACTATTGCTCATCTCCTGCTTTGAATGTCAGTCTTCGCTTGTCTCACCTGGGTCGACCAAGTGGTCACGTCTTCACCCTGTCGATCTGGTACTTATTACTGACCTCACCTGCAGAGCTTTGTAAACTCCCTCTAGTTCTAGGTGCTTGTTGATTGAATTTCGACCTGAATGCCTGACTTCGATGAACTCACACGCTCTGCGGCTGTTTGCTCTTCCAACTCTCTTGGCGTTTCCCAGATCGAACTAACGGTCTTCGGCATTTATATTTCAGATATTAGTGATTTGTCATCATGGCGGCGGATAGCCAAACTGTGTTCATGCAGTTTTCTACCAAGTTTCCACCCTGTTTGGCCCACAAAGGACTTGCCACAATATTTTCAACAAATTTTGTAAATCACACCTGATGTTTCTTCTTTACCCAGTTGGTTCTTTAGCCTGAAAAGTTTACTACGAATGGTTTCCATTGCTTCATATGCAACCTTGATCCAATGGAGCATTAAAACCTCGCTGCCATCTCATAAATTCTATGTATGTAAGGTAGGACGATCGTTTTCCTTTCCGTTGCACTTGTAGAAGCGGACTGTGATTGTTTCTTCAATATCAGGCAGTGTAGCATATAACTTTTAGTGTACGAATTCCGCTGAAACGTATTAACTAGGTGGTCTTCCTCCGGGAATTTTAACGCGCCTGTTGCCCTTTGACTGCCATACGAACGCTATCTCGAAGATCCGCATGAATACGATAACGTTCGTTCGGATAATGGAGAAAGGCTGCTCAGCCTGTGCTCCGACCACCAACTTTACCTATCCAACCTGAATTTCCACCACAAGAGACACCACTAAGCTACCTGGCGTGCTCCATCATTGCAGATTGACCACCTCGTCGTAAGTCGCCGGTGGCATGACAGTGTTCGAGCTTGCAGATCTTATTGATCAGCTTGCATCTTATCTGATCAATCGCTAGTACGTACGACAGTATGCGTGCGCCTCGGTAGCTCGCTTAAGATCAAACAAACTCGTCTGAACACTGGTAACTTGAAAGATCCCGCTGTTTAAGTGGGATATCAACCGATCCCCGTGACAGTCTCACTTTTCCCTCTCCTCTAGACGTTGACAAGCATTGGCTGCGTTTAAAACAGGCCACCTTTTCTGCGGGCCTGTCTACCTAGGGTCTTGCTCGTTCAACACCTAAATGTTGGATCTCGTTGATGTCGTCGAAATTACTTGACCGTCGGCGGTCCATTCCCGTCAGTGTGGGGCACACACGCCAAAGTTGCCCCATCTCACCATTCTCACTCAAATTTTTCATCGATGATGTGCTCCACCGCGCTCTGGAAGGAGCCGGGAGTTGCGGCGTTGAGCTACTCCCCTGGGACAGAGTTTCGATGCTGATGACATCGTTTTGCTGGAGGACGACCCACAGGACATCCAAAACGTTTTGAACCGCTTAGCCATCGAGGCATCTTATTATGGTTTGTATTTTACCCCATCAAAGTGTAAAACCATGCTCCAAGATTGGCAAGTGGCGATGCCAACACCCACAATTGCAAGTGATTGCCTAGATTAGGTAAACCGCTTCATGTATCTCCGTTGGTGGTGGTGTTACGGATGATATGTCTCAGAGAATCGCCAAATCCCGCCTGGCGTTCATTAACCTAAGGCACTTGTAGCGCTGCCGCGACTTCAGTCTCAGGCCTAAAAGCAGAGTGTACTGTGCCAAAGTCCGAACGGTCCTGCTGTACGGCTGTATGATCTGGCCTGTTCGTGCAGAAGATGTGAAACGACTGGCATCTTTCGACAACCGCTGCTTGCGAACGATAACTCGTGTGTAGTGGCAACACCACGTAAGCAACTCGGAAGTTAGAAGCCGAGTGTTCGGAGCGAACAATCCCAATCTGCAGGGTATTATTCTCGAACACCGTTTACGTTGGCTTGGTCTTGTTTTGCGCATGCCAACCGACCGACTTCCTCGCCAAGCATTATTTGCAACTTCTAGGCGTGTGGAGAAAATGCCGTGGTGGACAACCGATGATATTGAAGAGGAACCTCAAGAATGTCCTCGCATGTTTAGCTTCATCAGGATTTGGGGCCACGTGATGGGGAATCCAAATAGCTGGAAGTTTTAAACGCTCGTAACCGAAATCAGCGGCGTCAATGCTGTTTTAACATGTTCCTTTCATCCAAATTTCAATTTTAAACAAAATATCGAAACGGCGTGTGTGAAATACTAGAAAAACAAAACAAAAAAGTAGAAGAAAGGCTGTTTCCTTTGTTTTTCGAACTAGCATTTTTTCATACTATAACAGCAATGGTTCTGATGGCACATTTGTCTGTTCTCAGACTTGTGAATAGATCTATACTTCCTCAGCCTGCCTCAGTTGCAGCGTGCTACCGTGATTGGACCCGTTTGAAAAGTGTTCTCACGCAACTGCACCTGTAAATGGTCTGGCATCTATTTCACCAAATAGAACAATGACCAGTTGCCAGTATCGGACGCGCTCATGAAAAGACATGCTTTAGGGTCCCTGGAAAAACAGTCCATCGAAAAGTGACGCACACTAATCAGATCTTAAATCATTGCAGTAACAACCAAGTTGGTTGCAAGCACAGTTGCGTGAGAACACTTTTCAAACGGGTCCAATCACGGTAGCACGCTGCAACTGAGGCAGGCTGAGGAAGTATAGATCTATTCACAAGTCTGAGAACAGACAAATGTGCCATCAGAACCATTGCTGTTATAGTATGAAAAAATGCTAGTTCGAAAAACAAAGGAAACAGCCTTTCTTCTACTTTTTTGTTTTGTTTTTCTGGTATTTCACACACGCCGTTTCGATATTTTGTTTAAAATTGAAATTTGGATGAAAGGAACATGTTAAAACAGCATTGACGCCGCTGATTTCGGTTACGAGCGTTTAAAACTTCCAGCTATTTGGATTCCCCATCACGTGGCCCCAAATCCTGATGAAGCTAAACATGCGAGGACATTCTTGAGGTTCCTCTTCAATATCATCGGTTGTCCACCACGGCATTTTCTCCACTCGCCTAGGAATTGCAAATAATGCTTGGCGAGGAAGTCGGTCGGTTGGCATGCGCAAAACAAGACCAAGCCAACGTAAACGGTGTTCGAGAATAATACCCTGCAGATTGGGATTGTTCGCTCCGAATACTCGGCTTCTAACTTCCGAGTTGCTTACGTGGTGTTGCCACTACACACGAGTTATCGTTCGCAAGCAGCGGTTGTCGAAAGATGCCAGTCGTTTCACATCTTCTGCACGAACAGGCCAGGTCACACAGCCGTACAGCAGGACCGTTCGGACTTTGGCACAGTACACTCTGCTTTTAGGCCTGAGACTGAAGTCGCGGCAGCGCTACAAGTGCCTTAGGTTAATGAACGCCAGGCGGGATTTGGCGATTCTCTGAGACATATCATCCGTAACACCACCACCAACCGAGATACATGAAGCGGTTTACCTAATCTAGGCAATCACTTGCAATTGTGGGTGTTGGCATCGCCACTTGCCAATCTTGGAGCATGGTTTTACACTTTGATGGGGTAAAATACAAACCATAATGAGATGCCTCGATCGCTAAGCGGTTCAAAACGTTTTGGATGTCCTGTGGGTCGTCCTCCAGCAAAACGATGTCATCAGCATCGAAACTCTGTCCCAGGGGAGTAGCTCAACGCCGCAACTCCCGGCTCCTTCCAGAGCGCGGTGGAGCACATCATCGATGAAAAATTTGAGTGAGAATGGTGAGATGGAGCAATATTGACGTACATCCTTGGCAGAGTACGAAGAAAGCTTTTCATAAGCTTTAATTTTGCGCGATGTGTGACGGTAACGTTCTTTTAGGATTGTGGCAAATTTGTCGGCTGCGCCACTGCTTAGAGGACAGTTCCAAAGAGAGGTTCTATCTATGGAGTCAAAGGATAACCAAATCACCTTTATTCTTAGTCTTCGGTGGATGTGACGACGTTCGAGGGTTTGACGCAGCGTGAAGATCTGATCGATGCAACCTTGACCGCTGCGAAAACCGGCTTGTTCCGGCTAGACAAACTCGAGTATCTGAAGGTCTGTGGAACGATATTGACATAGAAACTTTAGATGTGACCGATACGAGTGATATTCCCCGGTGCTTGATGCAATTGCCGCACGGTTTCGTATCCTCCTTGACGACCGAAGCATCAAAAAATGTTTTGAAGGTAAGGTCATCGTATTAGGTGGACAAGATACTGTCAGGCCAAGACAAGCGAGCGATTAGGGTTCTCAACCAAAACCTTTGAATCAAAACCTGACGGCAAGGGAGTGGGCTACAAAGAACCCGTTTCAAGGATTAATGTGGAGGATAGGAACCTGAGTTTGTCTGGCCTCTA